GATTGCTCCATTGTATTCCACACCTGGGCAGCAGTGCAAGACTCCATCTCAAAAACAAACAAACAATAACAAAAAACAATGTGTATATGTGTGGATAAACATACATACACATACATATACACATACAGGTGTATAAGCCTTAATGTGACATATGTGTAGATATTTCAGCTCTGGAATATATCAAGGCAATAAAAAAGATTATCTCTGGGATGGAAGTGTAAGTGTTTAATTATTCTATATGCTTAGATGTATTTTCTCATTTTCTAAAATAAATTCTGCTTATACTAAGAAAATTGTTATTTTGTTTTTTAAAAATTGCAGTGAGATAAACAAGAATAATTTTAGCCTTCACTAATTTGCTTTCAGATTTTAAACACTCAATCTTTCATGGATAGCTCAGGGCAGTCTTCCTGTCTGCCTGCTGTCTCTTCATGAATAATAGGGCTTCAATTTATTTATTTCAGTTTGAAACACTTTTATGGTCATTTTGCTTCTGTGATATTAGCTAAGATCTGAAAGATGGCATGCCTCAGTGCATGAAGTGAGCAGTATTAAAGAGAAACTGGCATATCTGTGAGCAACGACATAATTCACTAGTTCAAAATCTGAATTTTATCTAGTCCAGAAAAATGTTCTTGCAAAAACAAAGCATGTTTACCTTCACAGATTGCATGATTGAAGTCCAAGCTGACTTAATTCTCTGAATGAGTGGGGAAAATGATCACATTTCTTGCCAATTATCTTTATCATAGGACTGAGAGTCCACAAGTCACCTGCATATTTTAGGGTACAAGCATTCAGAAGGAGAGTATCAATGATATAGAAAATGCTCTTAATGAAAGAAAATTTTCTTTCCTCTGCAAATTTTTCATAACTGCAGACAACTTACAGTTTTTAGGACCCAAAAGAGGCCTTAAATTTAAAGCAGTATTTATCTTGTCAGCAAGTTATTAGAGTGATGCCTTTACAAATCCACTGCCAGCCACTGGCTCTCCCAGTGGGGAATCAGCTGTTTCAGAAAGAGAGCTTTTCAAATGTAAAGCAGTGATTTTTCTGCTTTCTTCCCTCTGAAAGCAGACAACTTAAAGTCTTAAAAATTCAATCCTGTTTCAAAAAAGAAAAAAAACCCCACAAAAAACAAAAACTAACACTGAATTGTCCCAAGGGAATTTGTAAGGACTGAGTACAATTTGAGCCTCAGGCCACAGTCTTTTTTCTGCCAAAGCCTCAGGAGGCAGGAGATCGATTTTCATAAGCTCAGTTCTATATTTTCTTGAGTCCTCTTTTATTGTGTTAATATTATGCTGGAATCAAAGAGGGAAACTTACTTAATCCCAGAGACAGTGGAGTCGGTCTGATTCTCTGTACTTTCTAAACTAGATAGGAGAAAATAACTTCATATTAAGGCAAAACCTTATTTTATTCATGTATTTTACAATAAAGTTAGCTCAATGGCTCACTGAGTTTTTTTAAGAGAAAAATTCTAATGTTACTAGTTTCTCAGATCATCTAGTTCCCAGATATTGGGAAAGTCAAAGATATCTCTTAGTTATCTAAAGACAAAAAAAGGAATAGGAAAGAAGGATAGAAATGAAGGAAGGGAAGTAAAGAAAGGAAAAGAAAAAGAATGAGGCAATTAGCTGATTCACTTACTAGGCAAAATAACTAAGATACACAAGTTTTTCTTATTGCATATATTTATGGTGTACAACTTGATATTTTGATATACATAGTGAAATTGTTACTACAGCAAATTAACATCCATCATCTCACAGAGTTACTTTTTTTTTTTTGGTGTGTCAAGAGCGTTAAAAATGGCCAACCAATTTTTAACCAGTGTATGCAGAGGACACAATGGGGGAAATGATAGTCTCTTCAATAAATGATAGTTGGAAAATTGGATATTCACATGCAAAAGAATAAAATGAGACCCTTATGTTAGGGCATGCACAAAAAACCATCTAAAAATGGATTAAATACCCAAATGTTAAAACCTGAAACCATAAAAATCTTAGAAGAAAACAGGGGAGGATCTCCTGACACTGGTCTTGACAGTGATTTCTTTTTTTTTCAGACAGAGTCTTACTCTGCAGCACAAGCTGGAGTGCAATGGTGCAATTTTTGCTCATTGCACAACCTCCATTTCCCAGGTTCACGTAATTCTCATGCCTCAGCCTCCCAGCAGCTGGGATTACAGGCCTCTGCCACCACACCCAACTATTTTTTACATTTTTAGTAGAGATGAGATTTCACTACGTTGGCCAAGCTAGTCTCAAACTATTAGCCTCAAGTGATCCACCCACCTCAGCCTCCCAAAGTGCTAGAATTACAGGCATGAGCCACTGGGCCCAGCTGATTTTTTTAATATCACACCTAAAACACAGGGAACAAAAGCAAAAATAAGCAAATGGGACTTGTTAGAGCAAATTAAATATGGCCTGAGAAGGACTCTGTACATCTATATTTGAATCCTTGTGGACAAACTGCAATTTAACTTGATAGACAGACAAAATTGAAAGCCTAACTTAGGAGTATGTGCCTATAACAACAGCTGAGTCTTGGCCAATCCCAGCAGCTGTACTTCAACCACTCATACTCTGCCGAGTGTTAAAATTGTGTTCAAATAAGGCAAATGCCAACCTGTAACCAATCCAGGTGTTTTGGTATCTCACTTCGATTTCCATATGTCACTTTACTTTTTTGTCTATAAATTTGTTCTGACCATGAGGCTTACCTGGAGTCTCTGAATCTGCTATGATTCTGGGGGCTGCCCATTCTCATTGCTCAATTAAACTCCTTTAAATTTAATACAGCTGGAGTTTTTCTTTTACTAGATGTGTCAAAAGCAGGGTCTGAAATAGAGCTTTAACTACCCAGAAATGCTGAGTGAACATGCAAAGTACCTGCAGGAACTAGTTGTGTCCATTGATCTCTCAGAGGAGCTGGGAATCATGGGTAAGTTCTCTTTCAAATTTTGGAGCTCCATGGATTTGTGTTTTGAGCTCTCGGAGTTTCTTTGAGCAAATTTCTGTCCTAAACTGGGTTTGGAAGTCACAACAGAAACTGGACTGGGACCAGGATCACATTTGAAACAGTAATTAACTGGCTTGGATCCAGTTAGAGTTCTCTTATATCTGACTGGGTCAGGAGAAATTGTCAGTAAATGCTAATATTGCAGGGGTTTTTTAATTTGGCTTTTGAAAATTCCTGGGGATTTTTGTGTTCTACTCCTTCCTTTCATTTTTCTTGTGCACCTAAGTAGGGAAAAAAGTCATTGGCTAAGTTAATCGAGGGAACCTGCGAGCAAAGCCAATATTTTACATAAAAGTGGGATCCTTAATTTCTGAAAAACTAAGTTCCTTTTGACTTAGACATTAGACCCAGGAAGCAGCAAAGTCTTAAAGAAATAGTGAAATCTTACTAAAGATAACTTACTGTGAAATGTTCTGAATAAACAACAATACATTAAAGTGTATTTAAAAACGAGGGCTCCCAAAAATTAAATATGCTCCCTTTGTAGCTTAGTTACTATCACTAGGCAAAGAAATAGACTACAACACCAACTGGCTGACTTTGGATAAGTAATTGGGTATGTTTTACCTGAGTAAAGGATGAGATTGGGTCTCTTCCCTCAGTAAAGTCCTTCTTGGTTAAATGGATTAAAGATGACAAGGCCCAACCAGGGGCAAGTTTGAGCCTTGCCAGTTTGACACCAGGTGCTGAGCACAGTGAGTAATGTCTATATCACTCAAACTTCTGGCCTCTCTCTCTGTGCAAACCGGTTAAATGAACGGTAAAAATCACTGTTTATCTCCTCTGTAAAGTTTTGATTAATGTGAAAAAGGATTCTGAGACTAGTCTTAAGGTGTAGCATATCTGGTGTATTTTGTGCTATGAATTTGTCTTTTTGTGTCATTCTGTCATCAAGAGGGGTACCTTAGGATAGAACATGGGCTTAGGACCCCATAAGCTCACTGTTCAAGATGGCCCAGAAAGCTGTCTGTTACAAACTTCGCTGCAGATCTCTGAAGAAAAAAAAATTGAATAAGTTTCCATCTTGTTTATGTCCTTGGGAGCTAAACCTTGTAACCATGTGGCAGTACTTTTTTGAGGTCTGCCGTTTTACAATGGCAGTCCAGGTTCAATCCCGGCTTAGGGAATGAGTACTTTCTGATTTAATATCTGCATGACCTTTGTCATCTGTTAATTCTCTTACCCTCCATAAACAACTGGCTTTCCTTCTTGAATTTTCCTTTCTTTGAGCTACTTTTGAAGTTTTGTAAAAACTGCATGCTTTCCTGGTCCTGTTCTTCCAAGGACTTCACCCGAAAGCTGGTAGTCCAATTAACAAACGAAAACTCTTATTAACTATTGGATCTTCTTCTGTCTGTCTGTGTAGTTATATATGTGTTGTGTGTGTGATATTTATATAAAAGAGCTGCAATTAATTGGCTTTAAAAAATAAGTGCTTGAATCAAATATTTTGAAAGAAAAATATAAACTAAAAAGAAAGGCCTTTTAGTGACTTTAGTAATCTTTGGCAAATACAAATTTCTAAAGATCATTTAAAATAAAGACATTTGGTCTAAAATAGTAGGTAAGATATTAGGTTTCCTAAATACTTTAAGGTTATAAACTGCTTCTTTGGCTTTTGAAAATTGCTCATCTTGCTTGTTTTATAGCTTGGTAAGGCCTGGGCACATGTAGAGTTAGCCACACCCCTAGCTATGGCGGAAAGAGTCAGACCTTATCTGTACTTCTGTCTGATGTCTTAGGGTCCACATTTAGCATATAACTAAAATAGCTTACCAGGTTTTTCATCAAAATTAAAAACTGCTAAGAGTTATCATGTATCATATGTAATGGAGACTACTGAAAAAAAGTTTTACATGTAAGTTATGCAAAGAAAGAAAGTAAAATGTATTTTTTTTTTTTTTTTTTTGCTTTTTTCAATCAGTTTTATTAACATAGGGTCTAAGTAGATTTCAAAATAAAGACCATTTATACAGTGGGACCATTTTAATGTTTACAATAAATCTCTTGATTGCAGACATGTATGGCTATTTGGTAGTATTCAGAAACATTACAGTAATGGCAGTTTTTCCAATTGGTGTGTAGTCCTCTAATTATATATTAAATTGCTGTCAAACCAGTAAGACTGCATTTATGCATCCATCATTTTCAGGATTGTTCGTAACCTGGGCATACTTTCCCCAAATAACTTTGCCTCCTTGCGTCACAAGGCCCAGTTCGCTCACATTTACCTCAATGACAGTACCTTTGGTAATAACACCCAAAGTTGTATACAGTGGGGATGAGGGATTCTTCTTTACACCAAGTATTGGTAGGCAAAAGGTGGCTTTCAGTTCAGGATGTGTCACATGGGCTTTCTTGAAACGCAAGCCCATTGGCCTTATGAATCTTTCATATTTAGGTGGTTTTCTTGTAAAGCCATCTGCAACAAAGCATACTTTAGTAACCATCCTCTTCCATGCCTTCTTCTTTCTCTTTCCTGTTCGAATAACTTTTAATACTTCTGTTTCTCCCTGGGCACGGACTTTAGGCAGAGGGACTTCCCATTTTCCCGCCTTCTCTTTTCGTTTCTGTTTAATCATATTGGAAAGTACTTTAGCTCGAGATTGTCCTTCTCTGTCCAGAAGATAGGCAGGTACTGCTCCCTGTGGAGTCTTCTCATCATTCTTTTGTTTGGTGTTTCTCTTTTCATGCATCTTGATAGTCTTTTTCATTTGTATTTTCTCAGCGTGGCGCTGTTTATGGTAAAGCTTAGCTTTCAGACCAATCATTTTCTTTGCCTTCTTTGAACGTTCATGAGCCTCTCGACTTTCCTTCTTTCTCTTTTTCTCATGGTAATCCAAACGGTATCCATAGCGTTTACGATGTAATTCTATATATTCGTTCTGTGGCATGGTGATGGCCGCAGAGTCGCCACTAGCGGCCCCTGGGGTGTAAAAATGCTCTTAATATTCAGGTCTCTGAAACCCAAGAGCCGACACCACGCAGGCCGCGACAGGAAAGCGTAAAATGTATTTTTAGTAGAAGACTGGAAGAAGGCATGAAAATGTAGATTTTCCTGCCTAAGTTTAGAGGGTTCAAGGATTGTTTTATAGTTGATAAAATAAAGCTAAAGGTTTGAACAAGTTGTGGAAGCTTTGTGAAAAATTAATCTTGTAAAAAGAAATTTGTGTGGCCATTGACTAAAGTCTAAAGGGTATTATTAAGTTTTTCCATAAATTGAACATTGAAATAAGAGCACAACAGGGTTTTCTTAAACTACTGATCTGCTCTTTAACCAAAACTTGTAAAGGTTTATAAGAATAAACCTTTTGACTTTATGGTCAAACTGATTAAGATTAGATAGATTTGTCTTGCCTATAAGGTTTTATTACAAACTGAGGTTGACATTAATAGTACACTAATGCAAGGGTGAAATGTGGTTTTTCTCTCTTGAATAAGATTTTCATGTAATATTAAAAGATAATGAAATATTTTTGTTTACCTTTTGAATAAACTTCAGAAAAAAGAAGGGAAAGACAAAAGACAGATTTTTTAGAAAGCTAAGTCTTCCATCAATGAGTAAAGGTTTTTGCCTTTTAAAAATTTTTCGAGTCATAATTTTGACTAAATGAATGACTTAATGGTAATCTGGAATTATATTTCATAATATCAAGTGTTCTAAACCTTTAATATATTTAATAGGCTTCCCAAAATCGAATTTTGGCTTCAAAATTGTTTTTTCTGACCTCTAACTTTGAGATGCTACAGAGGGCTCCTGAAGCATCTAAAAGAGAGGTAAAAAGAATTATTTGACATGTTAAGTTATAAGGGAAGCATTGTCAAAATGAAAGATAATGTTTAACCTTCTTCAGGTTATAATTTAGAGTATGCCATCAATATGTTCCAAAATTGTATGGGATTTCTAAAATTCTACTGTGTCTGAGTATATGCTATCAATCATAATTATAGTTATTATGTTAAGTTATTGTAGACCACAGAAATAACCAAATTGTCAATTGCGTCTTTAGCTATAACTATTTAAAGTCATTTCCCCAGTTCACTGCTTAATGCTGATGCCGTTTCTGACAACTTCACAAGCATGGACAATCCTCAAATACGGCGTCTTTTAGGAAGCTCATGACAAGATGAAAAGGACCCTGTAAAGTACTCCTGAATACAGGTTTCTAATAACTTTAAAATCATATCATAGGTAAAAATTCCCCATGAATTCCCTAATTCCCCAAGAATTGGACTGGGTAAGCATTCCTGAAACTTTAATAAAAGCCTGACTGGTTTATAAAACTGCTAACCCAAGGAGAACAAAAAATTAATTGAATACCAAGGAAATACTTTGCCAGATTTGCATGTTAAATCAGCCAATACTGAAACTGTTCAGCTATACAATTTAAATGAACTCCATGGTCTAAGTCAAATTACCTATGATGATCCATCAGTTATCAGTGCCATGCACCTAATTTGGAAAAACAACTTGTATTTAAGAGGACATAAGTCCAATATTAAGTATGGACTCATGGAGACTCGGGACTGCCACCTTGTCCTTCCTGAGTCCTTAAAGCTTTTATTATTAAAAGTTCTGCATTCCATGACTCATATGGAAAAGAGAACATGACCCAAATTAAATATATTGGTATGGTGACTAATAAATTGCTAAAATAGTTTATAACCAATGTTTGGTTTGTCAAACCCATATTCTTGGAAAAACAATCTAAGCCTAAAGTACATTTGGTTACTTGATGGGCCATGTAAACATTTTACAAAATATTTCATTCAATTGTCATTTTTAATGCATGTTTTCTGGTTGTGTTAAAGCTCTCCCATGCAAGACGGCTGATGTTATAAAAGTAGATTATTATGCTACAGTGTATTTTCACCAGCTAAAGAAAACTTTTTATGGTTCATTGATGACAGTCAACCCCTTTACAATCTAGAAACCAAGGATTACATCATCTGAGAACATCAGAGGAAGACTGCCCTTGCTTTCCACACAGCAACACAAACTTTAGAACTTTGAACTTTGGGTTTATAATCTCACAGCTGAGAAGGGTCCCTCCACACTCCTGGAACTGTATACCCATTGGAACGCTTAAGGTAAATCTAACCAGGGAAACATCTCTCCAAAAGATGGTATCCTTGATGTGAACAGCTTTTCCTAAGATCACAGATCAAGACTTCTCTACTATCATGAGACTTTTATCTTTGAATATTTCTTTGTTTATGCCTCTATGAACAATAGAAATTAAAAGGGGGTCTCTATTGTGTGCACTTATGGAAAACATTTTTATTTGTGAAGGATTTTTTCAGCCAGCCTTATACATAGATAACTTTATACTTTGAAAGATCAAAGATGAAGGCCCAATGCAGGTGAGAAACCTGCATTTAATGGTACATATATTGCTGCATAATCAGTAAGAAACAGAACACTGATTCACTTCTCTTAACTCACATCATGGGTAAAGAGAATACTTCCAGGAAACCTTCACTCTTTCAGAAGGGCATGATTTGTTAGGTCCTTTATCCATGGTTTGGAATAAAACAGGCAATGATTAGAAGTGTATCCCTCATGATAGGCTCTATAGCAGATTCTACTGTAAAGGATATGGTTACACAACAGGCTTTAAATTCTCTTGTGAAAGTTATGCTAAATAATAGAATTGGCTAAACAGAAAAGTATGTGTGCAGATGCTGGCACTTATGGCCTATGGAGAAAAACAGTTGGTATCGTAGAGATTCAGTTGTAGGGGATTGATGAAAAGAGTGCTTAGTTAAGCAAGTAAACTCTTTATCTAACTAATTCTTTAATCTATTTGATTTTAGGTGGTTTGGTTTATGGGAGCTCTGGGTAAGGAGCATACTCCAAACCCTTGGTATTATCCTCCCCATAGTCAAAATAGTAGATCCCCTGGTGTGCTGTATTCTCTCAAATGTCTTAAATGTTTGCATGCAGCCATCTCTAGAATGTCAAATGGTCTCTCTTCAACTGGAATAATAAGAGCTGAAAGAAATGTGTGACCATGAGAACACCATAACCTATGAATGATGGGCTGAGACTGGAAACCCAATATGATGCTAACTGAGAGTGGTGCTAAGGCCCTAAGATTTTCTTACACTCTCACCTAAGCAAGAACCTGACCAAAAAGGGATTTTTTGTTTGTTTTTTAGCAAAATTATGGCAGGCCACTGTTTTGGACTGAGCTCATGCAATAGGGCCCAACAGACAAAAACAAACCAAAATGGAGTCACTCATGCTAAATGTGACAATCAAACTAAGACTTTAAGGAAACACATAGATCCCAGTCCAGACAGACCATGTTTGTTTTTCTCCTGTAAATAAGACGTTTCAGCATAAGGAGGTACGCTTGTTCCTACCTTTGTGAAACTCACTGTTCTACAGTTTCCCAGTGGGTTTCAAGACCAGTGGGTTTTACAAGGGTGACAGTGACATCAATGACTAAAATTCTCAAAATTGAGAAAATGACCAAAAGGGGGGAATTGTTAAAGTAAACTAAATATGGCCTGAAAAGGATGCTGTACTTCTATATCTGAGTCCTTGTGGACTGACTGCAACCTAACTTAGTAAGTAGACAAGATTGAAAACCTAATTTACAAGTATGTGCCTATAACAATGGCTGAGTCTTGGCCAATCCCAGCAGCCAGACTTCAACCACAGATACACTGCCAAGTGTTCAAATAAGGCAAACGCCAATCTGTAACCAATCCAGCTGTTTATGTGCCTCACTTCTGATTTCTGTGTATCACTTTACTTTTTTGCCTATAAATTTGTCCTGACCACAAGGCCCCGTGGAGTCCCTCTGAATCTGCTGTGATTATGGGGGCTTTCCAATTTGTGAATCATTCATTGTTCAATTAAACTCCTTTAAATTTAATTTGCCTGGAGTTTTTCAATTAAATTGTTTAATTTGTCTAAAATTTTTCTTTGAAGAGATCAAACTCAAAAACTTCTGCATTCAAAGGATACAATCAACAACAAAAAAAGGCAGCCTACTGATTGGGAGAAAATATTTGTGAACCATATATTTGATAAGGAGTTAAAATCTAAAATATATAATAAGAAACTTATACAGTTTAATAGTAAAATGATAATAATCTAATTCAAAAAGTGGGCACAGGACCTGAATAGACATTTCTTCAATCAAGACATAAAAAATGGCCAAGTATATGAAAAGGTGCTCAACATCACTAATCATTAGGAAAATGCAAATCAAACCACAGTGTGGTATCACTCACACCTGTTAGGATGGCTATTATCCATAAAGCAAGAGACAACGAGTGTCACTGAGGGTGCAGAGAAGAGAGAATCTTTGTACATTGCTGGTAGGACTGTAAATTGGGCTGGGCACAGTGGCTCATGCCTATAATCTCAGTACTCTAGGAAGCCAAGGCAGGAGGATTGCGAGTCCAGGCATTCGAGACTAGCCTGGGCAACATGGTGAGACCCCCATGTCTACAAAAAATTTAAAAACTAGCCAGGCATGATGGTGCACACCTGTAGTCCGAGCTACTTGAAAGGTTGAGATGGGAGGATTGCTTAAGCCCAGGAGGTCAAGGCTGCAGTGAGCCACCACTGCACTTCAGCCGGAGCAAGAGTGGGATCCTATCTCAAAAAACAAACAAACAATAATGTCAATTGGTGCAGGTTATAAAGCTTCCTTGAAAAAGTAAGACATAAAACTATCATATGACTCAGCAATGCCTTTTCTGGGTATACACCCAAAGGAAATGAAATCAGTATGTTGAAGAGATATCTGTACTCTCATGTTCATCAAAGCACTATAGCCAAGATATGGAAACAACCTAAGTGTCTGTTAATGAATGAAAGAATAAAGAAAATGTGGTGTATATATGTAATGAGATATTATTCAGCCTTAAAGATCTTTTTTTTTTTTAAACCATGATACTGAATTACCAATGCTCTGTCCAATAAGTTTAAGGGATTTCAACCAGAAGTATGGTTTTTCAACAAGAAGAATAGTTTTTCTTTTTTTTGAAACAGCGT